GGGGCTCCTCACAGTCCCCCCGCTCAGTGAGCAGCCCTCTTGGAAGTCAAGCCTTCTTGGAAGGCTCCAGATCCGAGCGGTCCGCGTAGAATGTCGCGCGTATAGGCGCCCTCTTTTCCCCATGGTCTATCGCGTTAGGGGGGATTAGGGGGGGGGGGGCGACGCCAGCGCGCAAGGCTGCCGAGTCCTCTTGCCTGCGGCCCCCCTTGACCTGTCGCTCTGGTGGCCTTCCCCTCCTTCTGCCGTGCATTCCTCGCCAGACGCCCTTGCGTCGTGAGCAAAACACGAAGGAAGGTTCTGAGCCATTTGTGATCGTTTTTTCATTCATTGTTTTGACGATCGGCGCGGGGCCCCAACCCCTCCTCCCCCCACCATGGAGTAGATCTTGGCTGTTTTTGGCGCCTCTTTCGAGCGTTTGGAGCTTCTCCTCGTAGGACCCACTTATGCAAGCAGTCGCACTAAGCAGATGTCTGGAGCCAGACCCCCCCCCCCCTTCCCCCCCCTTCCGCCCAATGTCGAAACGCCGAATCAAGAAAACGCCAACTTTTCTCAGCACCCGGAGGCACTCACCCGGCCTCGGGACCGTACCAGCAGTGACTCAGAACGAAAAGTCGGCCCCCAGCAGGACAGGGAGCCCAGACCTCAGCAGCGCGTCCACGCGGTGAAACAAATCGTTCCCTGCTGCGGGGGGGAAAAAGCGCGGTGACAACTCGGTGCGTCGTATGTCTGGGGCTCTCGACACCTTTCTTGTTACCATGCGAACAGGGCGCCCCGTGGCCGAGGAACGCGGAGGAGGAGAAGGAGGAGGAGGAGGAGGAGGAGGAGGAGGAGGAGGAGGGGGAGAAGGAAGAGGGGGAGGAGCGGGACGAGGAGGAGGAGGAGGAGGAGGAGGAGGAGGAGGAGGAGGAGGAGGAGGGGGAGCAGCATGTGTTCACCCATGGGGCTCTCTCGGCGCGCCGCCGGCCTCCCGCCGTCGGCCCAGGGCTCGCCGCCAGCTGTGCACCCGCCCGCCCGCGCCTGCGCCGTAGGCGCGCGCGCGCGCGGGGGGGAGGGCCCCCCGAGGGGGCCCGTCGCCGGCTGGCGACCGGCAGCGGGGACGAGCGTGCCGCCGGGGCGGCAGCGGGCGCGCCGGGGGCGCCGAGAGGCCGCGGGGGGGGCCTCGGCGCGGGAGGATCGCCGCCGTCGGGGCCTTCCTCTCTCCCTCCCTCCCCCTCCCTCCCCCCTCCCCCCCCCTCCCTCCCCCCCTCCCTCCCTCCCTCCCGCCCCCCCTTACCCCCTGCCCCCTCCCGCCCCCCCTTACCCCCTGCCCCCTCCCCTCCCTCCCTCCCGACCGGCGGGGTTCGGGCGACGGTGGGCCTGCCGGGGCTGGGCCCCTGGGGCGGGGGTCGGAGCATATTGCCTGCAGGACGGAGGTTTGTTTATTGCTTGGGGCATGACGGGCGTCATGGCCCCCGCCCCCGCCCTCCTATGACGTAACGCCCCCCCCCCCCCCAAGCGTCGTCGTTTTCGTCGTCGTCGTCGTCGTCGCTCGTGGCTCGTCGCTCGTCGCTCATCGTCGTCGTGCGCGCGGACGCGGCTGGAGCCTTTTTTTGTTCCAGGCCGATGACGGCAATCATCTGGGGGGGGTTGGAGGGGGTCGATGACGTCACCCTTCGCGCCGGCGGCGCCTGGGAATGCCCAGGAATGACGGAGGACGGGTGGCACCAGCATGTAGTTGGCGATCTGCGCCACAACGCCTGTGTACACCTCAGTGCTTGCGTGCACCACAGCGCCTGTGTACACCACACCGCCTATGTACACCACAGCAGCCGCGTGCAACACAGCGTCAGTTTGTGCCACCGCGCGCTCGGGCACAACAGCTCTTGTGTACACCACAGCGCCTGCGTACACCACATCAGCCGTGTGCAACACAGCAGTGTACACCACAATGCCTGCGTGCATTGCAGTGCCTGTGTGCACCACTGCGCTTGTGTGCACCACAGCAACCGTGTGCAACACAACACCACTGTTGTATGTAGCAAGTTGGAAGCAATCGTTCTGACAAAATGGAGCGTTTGTGGATTCCACCGAAGACACCAGAAGAAGAATCCTCATGGACAGGGGAACGCCAAGGAAATCTACGAGTCCTTTCGAGTTCGCCCGCATCACCGTAACTCCTCCCATCTGCGTCCAGGAGGCTCCAGCTAAATTGGCCGTCCGAGAACCAAGTGGGCCGATTCAATCGACCATTTTGCGGTGCACGCTGAGATGCGCACGTGCGCTGTAGCGCCAATCCGCACGACAGGGGGGAAGGAGGAGGATGAGAAGGAGGAGGAGGAAGAAGAGAAAGAGGAGGAGGAGGAGGAGGAGGAGGAGGAGGAGGTGGAAGTGGAGGAGAAGGAAAAAGGGAAAAACGTCGCATTCGATAATCAGCACTTTCCTGGCGTGGCGCTTCCGCAGCAGATCCTCACCTACAGGCTCCTTCTACTTGTCCATGCACGCAGGCATCGTGGTGTACAATAGCGCTGCGTTGCGCGCGGATGCTTTAGTGTAGACAGGCGCTGTGGCGTGCACAGGCGCCGCGGTGCACGCAAACACTGTGGTGTACACAGGCGCTGTGTTGCACATGGTTGCTGCGGTTTGCACATGTACACCGGCGCTGTAGTGTACGCAAGCACTGCAGTGTACACAGGCACTGCGTTGCACACGGTTGTTGCGATGCACGCAGGCGTTGTGGTGTACATGCGCGTTGTGGTGCACGCGAGCGTTGTGGTGTGCACAGGCGCAGTGGGGCAGATCGCCACCTACATGCTGCTCGCGTCGTCGTCGTCGCCGTCGTCGTCGCTTGTCGCTTGTCGGTCGTCGCGTCGTGCGCGCGGGCGCGGCTGTGGTGCCGGAGCCACAAAGCGGGGGGGGGGGGGGCGTTACGTCATACCCCGCCGCCCCACCCCCCCATGACGCCCGTCATCGCCGAACATAAAGAAACGCTCTCGTGGCGCCAGCGAGCAGGTCCCCAGACCTCAGGAGGTCGACGCTTTGAGGAATAAGCAGCAGCGTCTCTCTACAGACCACACTACCTCAACCCAGCCCGAAGGTCCCAGATCCCCCCCCCCAACAAAGACAAAATCGGGCTGGGGGTGCGTGAGTTCCACCGTGCTTTTTCTCGATGTGCAAAGACGTCCCCCCCCGCTGAATACTGGCAGGCCAAACGGCGATTTCGGTTTAGGTTGGGGTGGCTTGGTGGGTAGTCAACGCCTGAGGCCCCGCGCGCCCCCGCGGCGGACTGACCCCCGTCGCCCAGAGCTGCAGCAGGCCGGCGACGAGGCAGAGGTAAGCGTGCCGATTGAGCCGCGATATTTTGATTACCGCGGGGTCCTGCTAACTGGGTCGGAGGTCGTAAGTGGATGGGAAGGTGAGTTATATCTGGCCTGATCTTACCAATTCCCCAAGTGGCTGCAAGGGTCAGGTGACTCCAGCAAGTGGGCTGCGCCCACTTGGCCCCAATCGTTGCTCCCGTAAGCCGCCGGGGGCACTCGCCACCCACTCTTTAGCCAGTGTAGACCAAGCTGAACTCTTTTAAGTATCAAGTCTCGGGCCGGGCGAAAGGGGGGGATTGGGAAAGGGGGGGTTACGAAATTTGCTGCATGCAGCTGGTTTCGGCCTCACCGAGGGGCCCATTCCTCGATACATGGGCGCCTCCGGCGCCGGGAGGCGCCGGGAAAATCAGCTACGTGAGCTGATTCTCAACCCCCCCCTTTGCTATCCCCCCCTTTCGCCCGACCCGAAAGTCGTTACAGGCATGCATGCACACCTGCAGCTACCCATGCAAATGACCACAATCACAGGCTGCAGTTGCTGCTGCAGCGGCGCTCGCTCTTGAGCCTCAGCCCCGGCTTCCGACGCGCTGGAAGCACTCGCCGAGGTGGCCTCGCCCTCGGCGAGCGTTCGCCGTCGGCAGGAGCCCGCGGAGGGCCTGTGGAAGCGAAGGCTCCCACGAGGGCGCGAAGTTATTCGCGCTTCGCGCTTCGCGGTCCTCGTTCCTCCTCCCCCTCCTCCTCGTCCTCCTTTTCTCCCTTTGGGGGGGCGGCGCGAGAGCGCGAAGTTATTCGCGCTTCGCGCTTCGCGCAGCGCGAAGCGCGAAGTTGGGAGCCCTGGATGTTTGATTGCAGGGTTCCTGGGGTCCGCCGTGTGTGTGTGTACATACACATACATGTATACGGCTGGAGTCATCATCGATGTCGGCACAATGAGGGTCTCCGTTTGACCCCGTGGCCATGTGAAAGCTGACCAGGGCGAGGATCGATCCCAGGGATGGGGTCCACGCCGTGGAGGGAAAGCACGTCGGATGTCTGGGGAGGAGGACTGCCGCCGTGGTGAACTGTACGTTCGGAACTGGACGGTCTTCGACTTGGGAGGAAGATCCTCGTGGTGGCCATAGGGGGTGGACGAGGAGCAGGAGACGAAGGATGCCGATCGTCGAGGATGAGCATGTGGTGGTGGAGAGAGTCCCGCCACGGTGCAACGGTGAAGATCAGTCAGGGACGGGCGAACCCTCTCCCTGGAAACAAGCTCCTTCTGCTCAATTTCCGCAGAGCCTTCTCAAGCCATCTGTCCACACGTGGGGAGGAGGAGGTAGTCACAGAGGAGGGTCGCCATAGAAGGGGGCGGCTTGGCCGCGTCCCGTGCAGCTTGACGCCAATGGGTCTAGAATGTTGGCCGATGGTTTTCCTAGTCGTGGTCGCCGTCCGACGAGGATCAGGAGCAGCAGGTGAAGAGGACGGGAGGGTCAGAAGGCCTTGGGGGGCATGGGGGGGGGCAGGAGGGGAGGACGAGCAGGAAGCTCGATGATGAGGGGGCCAGAAGAGGGGGATGCGGGGGAGAGAGGGAGGGGGCGGAGGGAAGGTGGGGGGGGAGAGGAGGCGGACGGAGCAGGCAGAGGTGCAGCGAGGCCGTGAGGCCCAGGAGGCGGGGACCCCTTGCACCGCAGGAGCGAAGGCGGGGGTCATCGGGGCCGGGCTGCCATGAAGATTGCCTTGCCGGCGAGCTCGATCCCCTGCGGCGATGTGCCCCCGAGCCGCGACTCGCGCCAGGTGGGCGCGCTGGCGCGCGCGACGTCGGCGGCGGCGGCGGCGGCGGCGACTACGACGACGACGACGACGACGACGACGACGACGACGACGACGACGACGACGAGGACGACGACGACGACGACAACTACGACGACTTTGCGTCGACGGCGATGCGGCGGCGCGACTGCGGCGGGGGCGACGCCGACGAAGAGAAGGCGACGGCGACGTCGTCACTCGCGCGGGCGCTAGGAAGGCGAGCACCTTCCTGGGACGGAGCCTGCCCGGGACGGGGTCAGGAGCCTTGGCGCCCCCTTGGGCTCTAGGCCTCCCGCGTGGGGTCGGAGTAGGTGGGTTCGGAGCATGGCGCCGCGTCGCCGATGCACCGACGATGCGGCACGGCTCGATGTGGAGCCCAATTTGCGCGCAACACTTGTGTCCATTTCCATTGCAGCTTGGAGTTTCGGGCTCCCTTCCCCAGAACCCCGAGGCGCACTTGATATGGATAAGAATCTGGCCCCTATAGAATCTCGATGTCTGTCCACATCCAGTGCGTCTCGGCCTTGCGGTGCCCCTTCCTAGAAAGCCCAAGACGCACTGGATATGGCTAGAAGTATTGCCCGCGCCATCTTCTCCACACCGACGTTGCCGATGCACTGCCGACGTCGACGATGCATTGCCGTTGCGGCGCCATCCTCCAACCCCACCTGCTCGGACCACGTGTGGGAGGCCTCCATTGGCGCGGCCGGGGGAGGGAGCCCTCAAACTCCTGTGGCTCGCACTGGGGCTGGGCGGGGAGGGCCATCTGGGGGCCCCTCAGGAGGCCAGGAGGGGGAGGAGAAGGAGGAGGAGGAGAAGGAGGGAGAGGAGGGGGGGAAGGAGGAGGAAGAGGAGGAGGAGGAGGAGGAGGAGGCGGAGCGGAGAGGAGAATGAGGAGGAGGAGGAGGAGGAGGAGGAGGAGGAGGAGGAGAAGGGGGAGAGGGAGGAGAGACATCCTCCAAGGCCTGGTGGGGGGGGTCTGAGGAGCCCCTCTTGCCTTGCAGGCCGCCCCTCTGCCCTGTGAAGCAGCCGCCCCCTCGCCCCCCCTCGCCCCTCGGACGCAAGGCCCTCGGTCAGAGGCGTTGGCTCGGCGTGTCGCGCCGCCAGTTCTGGCCCGCCACGCTTCGGCCCGGTGCGCTCACCGAGTCAGCGTCGTGGTGAGCGCAGCTGGCCGAGGCGTGGCGTGACGTGACGGCCACGGACGGTGGCGTGGCGTGACGTCACGGTCGCCAGCGCCCGAGCCTCGGACCCGGCCTCTCCCGCCCCGCGAGGCAGATCGACGCACTGGCCGCCCGCGGGGCCCGGCGTGTCGCAGGGGCCGCCGCCGCGGGGAGCGCCAGGCGAGTTCCTCACAGTGCGGGGGCCCCCAGGCGCCAGAGGCGCCCTCGACGTCGCGAAGTCTTGCGCGCTTCGCGCCTCGCGGGTCGGCTCCGATTCCTCCTCGGGCTCTTTCTGTTCTCCCCTGGGGGGCGGCGTGAGAGCGCGAAGTCATTCGCGCTCTCGCGCAGCGCGTAGCGCAAAGTTAAGCGCCCTTGTTGATTGAAAGCGGCCAAGGCCAGATAAGGGCCAGGGAGAGGCACAATGAGTGTATATTTATAGTTTTGTTTATATATATATAGATATATGCGATTGGAAGGAGCCACTCCTGAGCGTCGCCCAGGCAGAACCTGCTGATACTGTACAAGCCCAACGTATCAAATCTCCTTTCTCCGACCAGAGACGGTCGCTCCTCTGGAAACCACAATGGGGAATAAGCAACGCGACTTGGCTAAAACAGCTCAGATGATCGAATCCTGCCCGTCTGGATGGAGGTGTTTGCTTGATGTATTTGGAGGGGTCCCGAAGGTTACTTTGTCTGGACGTGTGTTGTAGACGGGCGCCGCCGCGCATTCTAGCAAGTGATTTCTGGAGCGCATCACGCGCCGCGCCTCCAAATCATCGCAACACTGCCGCCCAGCCGAACCTGGCAGCGCTAATTCCTAGAGGGGTCGTGGTAGGGTGTCGAATGTGACCGAAATTGTCACCGAAATTGTAACCCGCGTAGGTCACACCCGAGCGCGGCCAGAAAGTGTTGGGCGCCAGTTTCGGCCACACTCGGGCAGATGCCCAGGCACGGAGTCACGACACCGCCCTGATAGAGACGAGGCTACTCTGGGTTTCATAATAAGCGTGGGGGGTACCCCCCCGACGGGGGGCAACCACGCCTCGTCGTCGCGCCGCGACTGGGGTCGGAGCGCCTTCGGCGCGCGGTGGTTGCCCGCGACGGGGGTCGATGTGGGGCTGTCGGCGGGGGTGACGCCCCCGCGACGCTTGTATTAATAGACTCGGAATGCGCGAAAATTTGGCTCAAGTGTCGTCCCTTTCTCCGTCCCCGCCCCCGTGGTCCTCTCCGCTAATCCCGCCACCCCCCTCCCCACTTATGCTCCACGGCGCAGGAGCAGGAGCAGCCAGTCCTCCCCTCGACACCCTCCCCCTCCCCCCTGCCGGGCGGGGGGCGATGGGGGCGATGGGGGCGAAGGGGGGGCAGGGGAAGGGGTTGCGGGGGAAGCCTGATTAGAGACCGATGTTTGATCCTTGGGCGATAGCGGGAGTCACCGGGGGGAAGGGGGGGTAACGTCACTTTTCGCGTCGGCGCCGTCTGGGAGCGTCCAAGAAGAAGCGGATCGTGACGTTACATGGGGCGGAGGGAGGGGCGAGGCCAGCTCCGGTATCCGCCACTATCGCGAAACTTAGCAACGGTTTCTTTACCAGCCCAGAGCTTATCCCTACACACTTCCCAGGCATCGCCTCATCTCGATGCCGCTCTCAAGGATTGCTCCTGTGTCTGAGGACGCATCCCTGAGATTGTCGTCGCCTTTAGGGCTAAATCTTGTCGTCGCCTTTAGGGCTAAATCGAGCCTGTCCCTCTGCAGGAGGACTATCCAGAAACAGTCAACAAACTAGTCTGGTGACGGTATTCAGACTTTGTCGTTCAAAATCCGCCTGTAGGGTGATATGCCCGACCTAACATCAGCGATATGTTTCTAGGCCACCTAGATTGGGTCGGACTAGATGGGGTCGGAGGATCGCGCCGCATCGCCGATGCATCGGCGATGCGGCTCGATGTGGGGCCCGATTTGTTTCACGTCGATGTCGCCGGTGCATCGCCGACGTCGACGATGCATCGCCGGTGCATCACCAATGTATCGCCGATGCATCACCACATCGGCGATGCGACGCGATCCTTCGACCCCATCAAGTCCGACCCCATCTAGGAGGCCTCGACTTAGTAAGCAAATCTGTCAAACTTTCAGCGACCGCAGCCTCCTCTGCATCTAGGATGGCACCTCGCAGGTTTGGCGGGCGCTCCAGCTCCGCGGATGCCCGCGAGACGCATCGCTCGGATGTCCCAACCCCCTTGGCACAAGAACGCGGCCTAGGAGCTCGATGGATGCAGCTAGATATGACACCGTCTAACGTACCCCATCTGATCCGACCCCACCTAGTCCGACACCATCTGGGAGGCCTCTGATGTTGGAGGCCGGTGAATTGGCCGCCGTCGCGTTGCGTCTGTCGTGTTTCCCGCGGGGCCCGCGGGCGGCGAGCCGCTGCGTCCCACGGGGGCCAGAAACAGAAACAAAAAAAAAACTGGCCCGCGGCCCGAGGCCCCGAGGAGGAGGAGGAGGAGGAGGAGGAGAAAGGAAGAGAGAGGAGGAGAGAAGAGGAGGTTCACTGCCCACAAAGGGAAAAATCCAGAGGAGAGAGGACAAGAAAGACTGGGGCGGGTGCCCATCAAAGGAGAACTTTTTGTTCCCAGGCAAGGGATGACCAGCCCTGCCTGGGCCCACCGACAGGGCACCCGTCCCCAAAAACAGCAACATCTGTCTAACCCCCGCTGCGCTCAGCCTCAGTGCGGGCGGCGCCGCGGGTCTGCCAGCAGATGCGCGACACGCCGGCGTCCACCCAGGATGGCCGGCTCTAAACGGTCGCGGCTGCAACCGTGCAGCGCCCCCATCAAGGAGCCACCAGTCACAAGAACACACCGGCCTGAAGATACGAATTTCCACTAAACGTATCAGAATGATGCTGCTCGCGAAACCCTGCAGCCTGGGCGGTCGCAGACAAAATTCAGCGCCACCTGAAATTGAAGGAGGGCGGTGGTGTACAACTGAAGCCTAAGGTCCCCAGACCGGGACCATGAACGACCACGAATCCTACGGAACAGAGGGCGAGGCTGAACAAGTGTACATCTGTCTCAGCCTTCAGCCTCAGGCTCGGCTCCTGCCGCCCTTTTGGCCTGGGCCTCGGCCCGGTCCGCAAGGACCTTCTGACCGAGCTCCTCGGCCTCAGCTCTGTCGTGAAACCCGAAAGCGAGCAGCACGGAAGCAAGCCCGAGTCTGGGAGCCACGGGCTGCTTCGAAAAAGGGACCACCCTCGGAGCTGCGTGCATGATCTGGTCTCCACCGTGGTCCAGTCCGAAGTGCCTCGAGAACCGCGCTCGAGTGACCTCCGCTGGAGCCTCACAGGGGCCAAGCGGCACGAGGGGGAACTCAGTCGGATGATGTCCATCCTGCAGCCTCTTGCGCACTGTATACGCCGAACCACCTTTGATCGGTCTTGTGCCCTTGCACTGGCCCTTGAGGCCCCGCTGCATCGGAGTAGTAGCATACTGCCAACACGAAGGGCAAAAAATAATGGGCTCATCACCAGGCACAGCACACTGAACTATACAGTGCTGGTTAACCCTCCAAGGGCGCACGCCACGGCTGACAATCCACTCTGGGTCTCCTGAGGCTGCGCCCGAGGGGAGATCAATGGCAGTAGCAGCAGCAGGAGGCTCAACAGGAGGAGGGGCGAGAGGATCGTGAATCGGGTCCGCCTCAGGGAACTCTTCCACAAAAAGCCCGGGGGGGCAAGTCCCCACATCGACCGTCTTCAAAAAATCGGCACCGAGATTATCTCGCGTCTCCGAAGCTCCCATCGCGGCCGAGAGGCGAGCCGAAAACTTGCAAGCCAATCGGGCTATAAAATGGCATCCTTCCAACATGTGCACATCAGCTTGCGAAGACCTGCCGAAAGCCGCTCCTTTCTTTGCAAATCGATCCGCCGCGGAGTTGCCATCCCGGTCGAACTCCGAGATTCGATCGCGCTCCACGTCTGAAGCGGTAGCGTGGGCTTTGACGTGGTCAAACGGGCGATTCACGAAATCCTCCCTGCTATGAACTCTGCGCCACAAATGAGCGCGTGGGTTGCACGGGCTGGTGGACGTTTCCACCGAACGGCAACAACTGAGCGTGCTCTTGCAGTCGGCGCGCAAAGCATATCTACCCAATACGTGTTGGGAACACATCAAGACAGCGTAATCCTCCCCGTCCCGGGCCGTGCCCGACACTCCAAATTCAGGGGGAACCCGCCCGAACAATGCTCCGACGTATCTGCGCTCGGCATCGTAAAGCACCACTGCCCAGCCCGCAAACCGCAGCGACGGGTGGAGCTGATCCAACCCCGAGCCGTCAGTGAAAACAAAACCTCCCTCCAGGAGGATTGGCAGCTGCACCTCGGCAGTCGTGTACAACCGCCAAGCTGGGTTGAACGGCTGGCGCCCCACGCACTGCCCTGGCTCAGGAAATACGCCGCGCGCAAACCGCTCCTGCCAGCCTTCTGGACTGTCTGTCATCCTAGCGGCTGCCCGCTTGAGCTCAAGTGGGAGACAATCCCTGCGCATCGCATCGTGGGCGGGGCAATGATAGCATCTGTGGAACAATGTTCCCCGAGCCCCCTGGCACAGCTGGCAAACGTCTGGCAAAGAGGGCTCCGAATCATGGAGCCGCGCTTGGGTCCAATGGGATCCCGAGACTAAACCGCGCAACGTATTTTGCTCGTGCCGGCCCCACGTATCTGACCAATCCGAAAACAAAAGCTCGAGGACCGGGCGCCAGCAGACATCAGAAGCCCAAACAGAGGCGTCCTGCATCGATAGAGCTCGGACGTCTGAGGCCCTGCGGGCGGCGAACGAAATTTGGGCCGCCACGCATGCAGGCGAATAAAAATATAGGTCCCACTCCGCCCCCCGATCGTCCACCGCCGTCCCAGCATCCTTGAGGCTCCAGCCTACCCGCTGGGCCGTTAAAATCATGGCCGCAACTGGATCCTTGCAGGAGACCCATGGCCTGGCTGAGCTAGCGTTGGCCTGGCCGGCCGTGACGAGAGACTCGAGCACTGTTCTGGACAAATGCCCGTCACCGAGGACCTCGCAGTACTGGCGCATCGAATCGGCCGTGGCGAGCACCAGCGGGTCGCGCCTCCACCCTTGCCGCCCGCAGCCAAGGTAGAGCCCGACCGACGCGCCCTTAGGGAGACGCCCTTCCGCGTGAGCCGCCAGAACTCTGAGGCCGTGCAGCCGCGTGTCGCCCAAACCGTGGACACACGTCCCCCACATGGCGACAGCTGTGGGGCCTGCGCGGTGCACCCTAAAAATGTTTGCGCCAGCGCCTTGCAACGTGCGCAGCTTCAACGCTTGCCGCTGGGCCGCGAGATATCTATCGAGATGCGTGCCGACCCTCCGAACCCCGACGTCCGTAGCGTCCCCGCCGAGATCTCTATGAGAGCGCTCTCGGTCAGCCAACTGCAGGGGCAGCACTGCCGCAATATCTGCAGCCAGTGCCGACGAGTTGGCCAGGAAACCGGCTTTCTCCCATGAGATAGGGAGACCCCGCTCCTGGACCGCATCTGCCACCGAGTTGAAGGCGAGGCCCAGCTGGTGTGGGACTGGTCTCTGGCCTCCCAGCGCATGAAACGAAACGTCATCGATAACATTTTTAATCGTGACAATCGGTGCAAGTGCATCGGCTCGCTTCGAAATCACTAGGAGTAACACTTTGGCCAAGGAGGTGGCGCACGAGCACCCGGCTACTACAGTGCCGTTTGCCTCGAGAGGCCTACCCGTGACTCCTTGAAAAACAGCCCTCCGTTCTGACCTGTAGAGGCAACAAAGACCCCGTAGCAGACTCTCGGGGAAGCCGACGTGGACCGCTGCCGCTCGAAGCTCAGCGTGAGAAATGTTCTCATATAATTTCTTCAGATCTAAAAATGCAGAGCCCGAGGCGAGATTCCGCAAGCGTGCAAACGCCGCCAACGCGTTGTGAAGCCATGCGCTCTTGTCGCATGAGGTCGAGCGGCTCTGCCCCCAGAACAGGTCCGAAGCGTGGGCCTGCTCCCAGGCGCTGCACTCGCGCTGCCGGATCTTGGACCACACTCGGGCCCATAACGGCAGGAGCCCGATCGGTCGTACCCCTCCTGTTGGCTTGTCAAGAAAAACAATTAAAATGAGCAGCAGACTTGACGCAGCTGGATCCCGTTCCCAGGCGTTCAAGACATCTGCAAACCTCTGCGCGAAGCCAACGGGTAGCTGAGCAAGCAATCGGGGGTGGAAGCCATCCCACCCAAGCGCCGTGCACTTGGAAAAACATTTGCACGCCTCCCCCGCCTGCTCGGCCGAGATGGGCTCAAGGAACTGCAAGACAGGCCAACTCCTTGGGTGCGCTTCCTGCGAACGGCTCTCCCGTGACCAAATAGGGACCCAATCTTCCAACAAACGGTCCAGAGCAGCATGGCCCGCGAGCGGAAAACCCCCGTCCTCATCGGAGGCCAGGACAGGCTCAGGGACAGGACGCGGGCCTTTACTGAACCTATGCGCGGCTCGGCCTCCCTTCAGGACCGAACTTTGGGCGAAGTCCTGCCACGATTTACGAAACTGGCGAGCATCCGCTGCCAGCCTACAGGAGACCTCGCTCGACAGATCTGCAAAGAGTTGAGTGCGCCTGTCGGGGTCTCGGAGGCCTTCCAGGAGATCCTCCCCTGAAAGGTGCCCAAGAGACCCGGCCTCCGCCGAGGCAAGACATGGGCTGACCTGCTGAAGAATCCCCCGGAGCCTCCCCCAAGTCACTCCCGAAGTCCCCCCTTCGATTTTGGTCAGGCCCAGCATCTGGCCGATCACGCGCCGAAGCTGCAAAAATTGGACAGTTGAAAAAGATGACCTACGCCTGAGCTCTCTACCCCATGCCGCTGCCAAAGGCACCTGCCGAAACTGACACCCTCTCGCTCTACCAGTGTACTTCGACCGAGCGCTGGCGTCAACAGAGTGTCTGGCAACTAAAAACGTTTCGGCTGCATCGAACCACTCCTTCATTGCCTCCGTCGGCACTCGAGGCAGGGATCCCTCTTCCCAGGACCACTCCAGCCGCGGCGCCTCAAACAAAACGCCCTCTGGGACGCCCCTCGGCGGCGCCCTGGGCTGAGAAGAAGAGGAAGGAGAAGAAGAGGAGGGGGGAGAAAGAGGAGGGGGCTCCAAAGGGAAACAACAAGGCACAGCGCGTTGCCATGCCTTGGCTTTACCATTGAGGCCCGTGAGCTCCAGCGAGACCGCAGCATGAGGGCCGCGAGGAGTATTCAAAAGGGTGCGCACGCACGAAACATACGGCAAGAGGCACTGCGAGGCTGCGAAAAAA